CAGCCTAAAAAAAGGCCTGAGCCTTTTTAGCCTGAAACTGAGGGCTATTCTCGGGCCCTCGTCAGACCAACCTGCCCTGATACAAGCACATTCGGGCATTGGCAGGAGTGACCTGCCCTGAAGCTTCCTCAAGGGCTAGCATGTGCAGGCATTGGCAAGAGCAGCCTCCTGGACGGGCCAGCACTATATAAGACTGGCCCGCCCTACAGGTTGGGACAGACGAGAGGAGACTGCCCAGGCACTGAACGTGCACTTCTACAGGAGGCAGTAGTCTTCAGGATTCGGCTGCAGTAGTAGAGTAGCGTTAGCAGTAGTCTTCAGCGCTGGGTGCTAGTAGCAGTAGACCAGAGTAGTGGAGAGAGGAGGCTGGCGGAGGCCAGGGGTGCTTACCTGTGGCGCCATAGCTCCAGCTTCGTCTTCGAGGTACCTGCAGCAGAGTGCCACTCACCGAGTGACTTACCTCAGGCGCCATAGCTCCAGCTGGCCAGCGAGGTACCTGCAGCACAGCGCCACCATCACCGGTTAGTACCTGATATCCAGAAGAGAGAGAGAGAGAGTTCTTCCTCTTCCTCCTCTCAGTCCACCATCTCTCTCCTACCCTCTCACTATCTGACTTCACTGCTTCGGCAGCCTACGAGAGTGAGAGTGGTTTACTTGCAGGGCTACAGGTAGGGGTTGTCACGGGCATTGGCCCAGGATCTGGTTCGACATTTTTGGGCAGATATTTGGTTGGACTTCGGCAAGGGACTATTTTGAACTTCGCTATTGCGATCTTAGTCTTCTCCCTTGCCTCCATCTTCGTCCTTCCTTCCCCCCTCCATCTCTCATCCGTGGTATCTCCCCATGTGCGTGATTGCAGGAGGGACCTTCGTCTATGTATGYGGTCCCTTCCCTCCCTCTCACATGTGTGATGTATGATGGGATGTCGTAACAGTCCAGGTCAGGTCAGGACTTATCTCCAAGTCTTCCGCTGTGCTATTAAATGCCATTGTTCATGTATCGGGATGTACACTGTCTGTTGATATTACGTTAGCAGTCCACTGTCCATTCAGTCCTTTTCATCACAATGCGGATCCTTGGCTGAACTCTCAGTGCCCGACTGGGCATGTAACTCGGGAGGGGGGAGGAAATCCCAAGCCTTGTCCACGAAGGAACATCACATGCCTCCTGTTTCGAGGGGACAGCAATATTTCAATTGGCAACAAAAAAAGGAGAGGCAAACAAGGAAAACGGAAAAACCAGAAAACCAGAAAAATAGAAAAGAAAACCAGAAAACCAGAAAACCAGCATCGTATATTCAGGCGACGAGGCGAGAGATCTTTACGAAATCAATTCCCGAAGCATCAATTTGCAAGGGAGCAGCAGATAGCAAGTTTGGGTACGAGGTTTGGGAGGAGGTGGTGAAAGAAGGAAAGAAAGAAAGAACCCGCATCAAGCTTTATACTGGACAGAAAAACGATGCATCTGTGCTCTGTGTCTGCTGGCCGACTCGCGGGAGGGGGGTGGCTTATCCATGAGGCCTTTCTGCTGCGCCACCAGCAGCTTCATCAGAGGGGCATCTCTCTCAACTGAGAGATGCAGAGCACTTGTGGAGGGGTCGGGGCTGTGCGAGCATCTCGAGATTCGCTGAGTGGCTTGGCGGGGTGGCGGAGGAGCTGGGCTTTGATGGCTTGGATGAGGGGGTTGGTGGGGATGGCGAAGGTGGGTGTGGCGGGTAAGCTGGGAAGGATTGTACGGGAGGGCAGTGTTCAGGGCGCACGGTTGAGGGACAGTGGTGGTTGGGACAGAGGCAAGGCTGCTGCGGTGGTAGGGGAAGCGTGGCGATGAATAACATGAAAGCGAGGCTGGCCAGACACGCGATAAATGCTGACAGAAGACAAACTGCATCTGTGTGCGTTGCTGCGCCATCCTCCTCATTATGCTCCATCTCCTGCGGCATTCTTTACGCCGTAGTTCCCGCGAGCAGGCTAGTTGTGAATCCAAGCACAATGACACACACAGTTGCTGCCACAGTGACAAAGCAGGTCGTGCATACGAGTGCACAGAGGTGTGCCCTGAGATGCCTGGCCGTTGCAAGAAACACGTGCTCCGATTGGCACCAAAGGAAGAGGACGCGGAGAATAAGAAGGTTAGGGATTAGGGCGAGCGAGAAACAGCTGTCAAGGCTTAATGTGCTGATGATGAGGGCATGGGCGGACGAGGGGCGGGGGAGGAAGAAAATGAGGTGCTGCGCTGCATGAGAAGCTGCTGCGGCTGGAGGCTGCTCAATTGGAAGGGACGGTGGCGCTGGGCACTCCATGATGCATGAACCGCGGTACTGCGACTAGAGAAATACCGTCTCTTGATCGAGCACCTCCCTCCGGGCAGCAAGCGCATCCAGGTCCATTGGAAAGACCATATCGGCCGCTGAGTCTCTCCGTTGCTCCTCCACTGGGGAGGAAGAAAGCGAGGTACTGCGCTGCATGAGAAGCTGCTGCGGCTGGAGGCTGCTCAATTGGAAGGGACGGCGGCGCTGGGCACTCCATGATGCATGAATCGAGGTACTGCGACTAGAGGGATACCGTCTCTTGATCGAGCACCTCCCTCCAGACCGCAAGCGCATCCAGGTCCAATGGAAAGTCCATATCGGCCACTGAGTCTCTCCATTGCTCCTCCACTGAAGAGTATGACAAAGGTCCTCCTAAAATGCGGCGGATTGCCGCGTCCGGTTCGATGATGATGTTTGGTTCTAACTACAGTACCTCCTATATACTACACCTACTTACTACCCGGACCCGCCTGTTCTGACTCTTTTCGAAATCACACCCCGCGTTTTTGAAATCAAACCTGGCGCCCAAATGGGCTTTGTGTTTCCCCGATGATCGCATTGCTGTCAGTTAGAGCAGGATATTACCGAGACAAGACGAGTCAGGAGGACACATATGCCTGTACCCTTCAATATCGGACTCCTGCCAAGAGATTGTTGAAAGAACACTCCTGGACTAATGTCAAGGCGGGGGTAGTGCACAGACCTTGAGGCATAGCCTTTTGTTTGATGGGTAACTTGCTGAAAAGCAAAAAAAGCCAGAAGAGAAGGAAACGACAAAAAAACGACATGGTGCAAAGAGAAAAAAAGAGAGAAGAAAAAGAAAAGGAAAAGAAAAGAAACGAGAAAGAAAAAAGGAAAAAGGAAAAAGGACAGAAAAAAAAAAGAAAAAAATGAAAGACACAAAAGGAAAAAAATGGAAGGGGATGGGATGTGAAAAACTGGTCTGTCTGCAAGTCTTCCGAATGACGGCCCGGCTGCGGGGTGGTGCTGCATGGTTGCCAAGCCCTGATTGCTGATGTCGCTGCTGGGTCATATGCATTACCCCTTCCTTTCCACTTGCTCATCCTGCCTGTCTTCTCCGACTGGTCCCTCCCGATTCCTCTGTGTGTGTGTGTGTGTGTGTGTGTGTGTGTGTGTGTGTGTGTGTGTGAGCGAGAGACGGACTTTGCCACATTGCTCACAAAGTGATTCTGACACATGCTGCTCGGTTTCTTCTCTGGCTTCTGCCTTCCAGGGAATGCTCCAATGATGCACTCCCAGCATTACGATTCACATGACAACACTATTTGTGATAACTCAACTGTGAAGCAGATTGGGTGCTGATTAGTTCATTCATGCATTACAAGGCCTCCCTGATGACAGCGGCAGTCTTATAGTTGAAGGCGACTTCCGACAACTGCCCCCGGACAATTCTTAATCACACTATCTCAGCCAACCAAACTGAGACTCGCAAGCACACATGCACTTGCACACTTACACGCACACAAAGAACATACACATAGAGAGTCAAAACTCAGCAAATACGCACATGGCCTATGTATAACAAACATATTCAGAAAACACAGCAAACAGACTTAAAATCTGAATCCTCGGGAAGCTCAGCAAACCGATTAACGAGACAGCATTTCCTCAGAAAAGTTCCTTGGACTGCAACTGTGTGGGTCATTTCACACAACGAAAACAAAAACGATGCTGAGAAGGTGACAGGCTCCCAAAGAAAACGATGGCACTAAAAGAAAGAAAAAAGGAAGGAGGGAGGAGGATGACGAGGAAGTGAACAAGGAACACGATGGGAGGAGAGGAGGAGGAAGGAGGAAGGGAGGAGGAGGATGTGGAGAGATAGGGAAGGATAAGGAGGGGGGACAAGGAGGATGACGAGGACTAAAACAAGAATAAAAGAAAAAGTTGTGTGCTGGTGTTGCACATGTGTGCTGGTGTTGCACGTGGCATGCGGCAGGAGGAGAGAGGAGGAAGGAGGAGGGAGGAGGGAGGAGGGAGGAGGACGGGGGGAGGTCGGGAGGAGACAAGGAGGAAGGAGAACGAGGAGAGGCAGACAGAGGATCGCGAGGAGAACAAGATGTAAAAGAAATCGCATGGCGGTGTGCCATGTGCCCATGACGGGTGGAGGAAGGAGGAGGGAGGAGGAAGTAGGAGGAGGACGAGACGAGACGAGGAGGAAGGAGGACGACGAGGAGAGGAGACTAGGAGGAAGGAGGAAGAGGAGAGGAGGAGGACGTGAACAAGTTGAAAAAAAAAGGAATCCCGTGCTGGTGTGCCATGTGGCATGCGATGGGAGTAGAGGAGGGAGGAGGGGAGAGGAGGGGAGAGGAGGGGAGAGGAGGAACGAGTTAGAAGGAGGGAGGAGGACGGCGGGAGATTAAGAGGAAGAATGAGGAGGATCACAACCTCTCATGCAGGTGGGGCTGCGCTGGTGCTTTTTGTGGCAATATTGGAACTTTGTTTTTTGCTCCAAGATTATGCTGCGGCTTTCAAAACTGAATTGCTTGCAACAGTGCCCCTTAAGCACGTAAAAGGACATTTCAATGTGGTCGCTGATGCGTTGTCTAGGAGAGCAGGCTGTCTTGGGGTGCTAGTAGCTGAGTTTGGACTTGACGGGGGACCGCACATCAGTTAATGGTGGATGCCTGTCAGGAGGACAGCAATCTGCAAGAGAGGATCAGATGCCTTGTTGCTCAGGATAGAAAGGTGTGCGAATAGCTCAAGATGGTTGATGGTTTGCTGTTGGTGAGTGAGGCAGGGAAAGAGAGATTGCGTGTACCAAGTAGTGAGTCTTTTCGTAGTTCGTTTCCAGGAGAAAAAAATGCCATGATGCCACAGCTCACTTCAGTTTCAACAAAACCTATGCTATTCTGTAGGAGCGTTTTTGGCAGTCAAATGTGATAGAGGGTGGCAAGAAGTACGTTGGACATGCCAGGTTTGGCAAAGGAACAACAGTTGGACTCAGGCACGTCTACGCTTGCCAACGCTTCTTCCTAGTCCCGCTGGACCAGGAGAGTCTCTGTCCGTGGACTTCAGGATACACCAGTGAAGAGTAGAAAAGGAAACGGGCATATCTTTGTGATTGTCCAAAGATTTTTTTACGTATGCATGCCTACCTTTTGCCTGCAACAGTGAAGAGTCTGAAGACTGAACTAGTAATTTCTTGGTTTTCTGATCACTGGCTAAAGGATTTGGGACTACCTAAATCTGTAGTGAGCAACAGAGACGTGTGTGCTACTGGCGAACTATGGCACAAGACAGCTCAGCAGATGGGATCTGCATTGCAGATGATGTCGGGGAACCATCCCGAAACAAACGAGCTGGCTGAACGTATGAACCGGCTTGTGCAGCAACTATTACATCAAACTCAATCAGATCGACTGGGATGAGAAGTTGCAGTACATTCTCCCACTGGCCACCGTTAGGTTTCCTGTTTCCTGAATCTTGGGATGGGAGCCTAGGACACTGTTGGATTTTCTGTTTTGTAATCAGCAGTTTCTGGATACCTAATGAACTGCACTTGGAACGGGAGCCTAGCACACCGTTGGATTTCCTGTTTCCAGAATCTAAGTCTCAAGCAGTGCCAGGTAGCATTGAGTATGGTTTACAGTACGAGAGCTTGCCTGCAGTAAACAAGGGAACAGATTCAAAAAGCTCAGGATGCTATGGTAGTATCTGAGAACAAACACAGATGGATGTCAACATTTCAGATCAGGGATAGAGCTTGGGTTAAATCTTCTGAGTTCACACAGGAATAGGATATATCAGATAAACTGATGCCGCAGCACTTTGGACTGTGGACTGTACTTGACATTGTAGGATCAGATTATGACAGCCTCCTCACTTAACACATTTACCCTGTTTCTATGCCCCCAAACTCTCACCTTTTTTCAGACTGATCAGTTCCCCTCTCGGCAATGAATGCTGCCGCCATGGACGGGTGGGTAGGTGGTCATAGATTAGATCATTGAGCACAAGGTGATGCCTGTACAGATGCAGTGCAGGGTGGCCTTCAGACATCACCTGGATTCTAAAGATGATCGGTGGTGCACAAGGGATGAGCTGCTAAAGACTGCACCACGGATTGTTCCTCACACTATGAACAGGTAAAGGGGAAGCAATGGCTCAAATGAAGGCTTCTCAAAGAGTTATTGGACCTGAGGGGGAGGGAATGCAAGGTTTCAGGCCCTCGGCCATGCCGAAAAGGCCCTGCCCACCCTAACTTAAGGCAGGCCAGGAAAATGCAAGCTGCCCCTAAGTGAAGCTCGGCGTGAGGGGGCCCCTAACTTAAGGCAGGCCAGGAAAATGCAAGCTGGCCCTAAGTGAAGGTCGGCGTGAGGGGGGCCCAGGTGGTGGGCAGGAGCCAACCTCTGCAACCACCTGGTAGGCCCAG